ACGAGCCCTGCTTGTAAATACAAAATCCTCTAAACTGAAGCTGCTGAAACTAGGGGCTGGCAACTTGTAATGGAAAATGTTTGGTGTGAGGTGGCTTCTGAAGGACTTTAGAAGTGCTGGGTTTGTCCCTCTTTGCAGGAGACAGATGATGAGGATCGGTGCACTTTCCAGCTAGGGTAGTTGAAGGGTATGCCACACGTACCCCAAAACTCTTGTTGCTGTCCTAGCATGCGGCTCCAGGGGCGCACCAGAGGAGCCAAGCTCCCATAGCTCCTTGGGAGCTTCAGAACTGCCTGGACCAAGGAATCCAGGCTGGAGGGCCAAATTCACTTTTTCTTCAAAACCATCCTTTTATGGCAGGGCGCCTGGAGGTAACAATAATGCTGGCTGGTGGAGGGAAACACCTCCAGAGCTATGCTGTGTCCATGCTGCCTCTGCCCATGGGGCCAGCCCTGGCTCCCAAGCCAAGTGGGGCAGGCTGGCTCGCATGCCTCTTCTCTTGCAGCTTGGCCATGCCTCCTCCAGCTCCTCCAAGCCCAGGGTGCTGTTGTGCTCTGGCAACACTGGTAAATAAAACAGGGAAGAGTCTGGGGTTTTTTAAATTTTGTTTTGTTTTTTGGCTTAGTGGGACATTTGACACAGCTCACCTCATTACAGATACGCAATTTTCCCCCTCAACACAAGTGGCCTCATGCACGCTTCCTTCCTGGCACAGCCCCTGGCCCATGCTACCCCCTAACTGTGAAATGCTGGTTGGCCCAGGCCAAAACTGTAGCAGGGACCGTGCTAACAATTAGGTATCCTGGATGAAGGTGAGCCTGTGTTGGGGACTTCACCTTCATCCACTTGGTTTACTAGTAGAGATGTAGTCCCTGCACTCCTATTATTTATAGCCATGCAGGGTCCACACACATTTATTCCTTCTTGTGATTTTTTAGCTCTTAACAATGAAGTGAAAAATGTGAGGTCACGCTGCAGCTTTCCAGGACACCGATTTTATAGTATAAAGCTAAGGAAATATTGTTACATGCTCTAGAGTGTAGTATGAGGGCAGCTCACCTATTTGGGGGTGCAAAGCCTCCTGAGGTAGTGTTGGAGAGCTGTAACGGGTATGTCTGAGTGATGCTGCCAGTAGGATACAGCTTGTGGAGTGAGGGATCATCTGAGCTACTCCTGGGTTGCGTCTTGGCGGAAACCACTTATTTCCTCCCAAATAGTGCCAAAGAACACACTTAGCTCCCGAGCAGGGTGAATATCCAGCAGACTACAGCCAAACTGGAGAGCTGCAGTATCTGATAGCACGGATGTGCCCTTTGAAACAAGGAGCATCTTGAGAGGGAAATACACACCAACAACCAGCCACTTGTTTCTGGCCTCTTTGCTGGTGGGAAGATTGCACAGGGCAGAATTTGCCCATAATGCTTTCTACCATCTCTGACTAGGCAGAAACTCCCTCACCTTGGCAGACGATGCTCGCCAATCCACTGCATGACATACAGTGATGCAATGCTCCCGGGAGCGCATTTAACCATGGAAAATACCAATGATCACAAAATATACTGTACCTGGTCACTGACACCAGGTGCTGCTCCCTGGCCCATGCAACACTGGGCAAGTTCAAGGTTATGGACTTTATCTTTTGAGTGCTCCTTGGCCCGAGCCCAAAATGCAGCACAGAATGCTCACAGGAATAGGGTGAGTGGCTCCATGGACAGAACTGAAGTTCTCTCAAGAGGGTGATATTCCCCAGAGAAGTCCCTCAGCAAAATAGTCAGGGCAGCCCTGCTCAATGAGATGCTCCTTACCACATAGAAACATTAGGATTAGACTGAGAATGGGTCTGTTACGGTAGGCACCTATGTAGGCAACCCCTTTCTCTAAGATCAAAGTATCCCAAAATCAGACCAGTCCCTCTGGAGGCCCCTGGACCAGCTTCAGGCAGGCCCACTGAGAGCAGGTTACTCAGTGTCTTGTCCAGCTGAGTTTTAAACATCTCCAGGGACAGAGACCTCACAGCCACTTTGGTCTCCCATTCCAGGGTTTGACTGTCCAGGGGGACTGTCCTTAGTGAAAAAATTTATTTAATTTCTGACTGCATAGGATTTGTAACATTCAGGAGGGAGAAAAGGTGCAAGGAGAACTGAAGAGACGTCCTGTTTTCACATGGCCACTCAGTGGCAGAGAAGCGCAGTCTCTTGAATCAAAGCGCGAGGCTTGGACTCAGCCGTCCGTGCTTCATACCACGAATATTTACAAATCAGTGTCGGATGCTTACCTTATTACTTATTCAGGATCTAATGCAATGCAGACCCTTCTGGTGAAGGAGCGACACATTGTCGGGTTTTGAGTCGGAGTCCCGAAGTTGGCCATGCTTGTTACTTGTGGTGCACCTGCATTTTCTACTCTGCTGCAGGAACCCCACGTGCTCAGGGGTTTCTAGCCTGTTAACAGCTGTGGGAAACAAGCCCGCAGGCGCCCAGCACCCCCACCGACCCTGCACAGACTCTGCTGATGAAGTTCGGAGCTCAGGCGATCCAGCGGCAAAAAGCCTCACGCTTTTTTGCTCCCCCTATGCAGTCAATCCGCCTCCGCCTGCCTCGGGGGGGGGCTCGGTGGCGAACCCGCTCGGTGGGAGATTAAAGGTTTTCTGCGAGAGGCAGAGCGGGGCTGTGTGAAATACAGCGGTGGCAAGGGCCAGCGCGGGGTGGACACAAGGCCCCACCTCGGTGAAGGTGGCCGTCATGGGGCACCTCAGGCCGGTCCCCGGTGCTCGGTGAGGTGGGGACACTGGCCCTGCAGAGGACATGGCTGGCTCACAGGGGACACTGCTGGCTAAGGGGGGACACTGCTGACAAGGAGGACACCACTGACAGGGGAACACTGCTGACTGGGGGGACACCGCTAGTGGGGAGGGACATGGCTGAAGAAGGGGTCACAGCTGACAGGGGCGACACTGCTGATGGGGCAACCCTGCTGGCAGGGGGGCACCACTGACAGAGGGGACACTGCTGGTGGAGGAGACATGGGTGACGCAGGGACATGGCCGAATGGGTGACACGGCTGTCAGGGTGACACCTCTGACAGGGGGACAGCACTGACAGGGGGGTACATGGCTGAAGGGGTGGCACTGCTGATGGGGGGCACCACTGCTGCGGGGAGGGGACATGGCTGATAGGGGACATGGCTGGTGGGGGGACACA